ACATTTCTCCAGATATTTCTCTTTTATTATATTTATTTATTTCAGACAAATTAGTCCATATCAAATAATAATAATAATAATAATAATAATAATAATAATAATAATAATAATAATAATAATAATAATAATAATAATAAATTAATAATAATAATAATAATTATAAAACAGGGAACAATAGTTGACTTGTTATTAAGTCATTGCACATAACGTTTCAGTACAGCATTTCATTCCAACGCTGCAACAAGGCTGACCTCCATCTCAAGTCACTGTTCCATAAACTAGTCAATATACTGTTGTTTGACGAGCAACCACGCTCTCTAAATTTACGTACAATATTTCTGTAAATTTCATAAAATAATTTGATACGGTTAGCAACAAACATAGATCGGACATCGTGGTCATATGGGTAGTCAAAAAGTCTACGGAATAGGGGAGCGGTTTCCGGCCCGGTATCCGCGGAGCTCCGGGGAGCCACCTTGTCCTGGTCACACGGAAACGATCCTCTCTGTCCGAATACGAACAGGTTCAACTAGTCAAGTAGAAAAAGTAGCTGCCCGGTGTTTGAAAAACTAATAAAAAGGACTTCCACGGGAAATTGTAATGCCCAATTATTTCTTTCAGAGCAAAGATACAAAAGTCAGTTGTGTGTTTCTTTTTAAAACTGAATGGATTGTCTGAAACACCAAGATAATTCTGACATCTGTTTAGAAGAATGTGGTCAAAGACTTTGGATAAAACTGTAGTCATGGCAATGGGTCGATAATTATCTTTCTGGTCATATTTCCACATTTGTTCTTAGCTATTGGGAACAGTTCGACTTCAATGAACCTTCTTGGAAAAGTTCCGTGTATAAGCAATGCAGGCAACCATTAACATTGACAGATGTGATGAGATCACCGGGATCGCGGATTTAAGATGCTCAGCACATAGATCTTCTGCTCTACATGATTTCTCTAGCTCAAGACTCTGCACAACCGTAGGCACTTTTTTCTACGGAAACATTTAGGACATCTAATGTATTAACTGAAACATATTGCTGCGCTTTAACTTTATAAATATCATAAATAACAGAATCGTATCGAAATAGTTAGCCCACATGTTCGCAATATTAGATTCACCAAGCAACCATGGAGTACATGGAAGAGGTGCGTTATTTTCCGTCGTAGTCTGTTTCCAAAATATCCGCCGATCTTCATTCTTAGCCAGATCGTCAGACTCAAAGTGGACCTTATTATTTCTACAGTAGCGCAACGCAAGTTTGAATTTCGATCTTGACCTGCGCATCATCTGGTACACAAAACCATTGCTAGGTTTACCAGAGTTACACCAAGACTGAAAATAATTGCGACAGCGTCAAGTGCCTCCTTAACTACTTCATTCCAGCCAGGCACAGGCACATCAACACCTGGTTGATTTTCTAATAAATGTTTCGTCACCAGCATTTCCTAAGGAATCAATTATTTGTCCATAATAACGAGTAATCATATCATGTTAGTCACTGCGACTGGAGCCATCTGATACGCACATAATTGCATATAATTTTAACCACATAACATAGCAATTTTTGCATGGAGCCGCTTTTGTTTGACTAAAGGTTACGAAATTAGGTGAATATCATATATTGGCGTTTTTAATTAAAACTGGCACATTACTCGTGATATACGCTTGGTGTAGCTGGTTTTCGCATAATTATGTCACTCAAATATAATTATATTGTCAACAAAACGACCCTCAGATGAATCTTGTTACGCTTATTTGTTGGTGGATGAAAATGTGCTATAGCACAAATACGTTACAAAATAAGAGACGGTATGTCTCTAATATATTTTGTCTGAAACACATATTCATAAAATTTATGCTAATAATCAAATTTATATTATTGTCAACAGATAAGATCAGCGTTTGATTTATCTGATGAGTTCTTCAGGAGTCCCGCGGATAACAAGTTACTGTTCGAGGCAAAGTCTGAAGACAATTTCAAAATCGGTTACGCTCATAGTGGCACAGAAAGGTTCGTTTATTCAACAGATTTTCAGCGTTCGGTGCCAACAAAATAGTAAATTAGAATGATGAATACATATCTAAGCAACACATTATACTGGTGTATTCATGGTTACCATGAGAGCTGCATGAAAGAAATGAAAATTACTTTGTTACAGGGGTAATACATCAGCGACGTGGCCAGTATTAAGTTTGCCTAATGAACATGAATATTTCTGTTACAGGTACAGTCGTGTCAAGAATTTCAGAGAAGCTTTCCGATTGCGTCCAGGCACACATTCCACAATTGACACTGTGGTGCCCGGGTTCGTGAAAGCACAACAGTTGCTATTTACTTCTATGGGGAAACTTGTTCAGCGATTGGTCAGATTGTTGGCTATTGGACTTGAAATAGATGTTAGTAAGATGCCATTTGAAAATATGGTTTTATGAAAAAAACTATGTTTTTCTGCACTGTTGTCATGTGGTTTTGTTTGTCAGATAATTCATCATTTGTTAGAATATGTATTTACTATCTTTTATTATTGCTAAACAGGAAAATGTATTCACTGACAAGTTTAAAAAGATGGGCGAAGAAGGAAACTCGTCTTACATGATGCACAATTGGTATACAACAGAACAGTCATTTGACAAATCTGGTGAAGCCATTCGCCTTTTTGGTCATTTCGATAATAGTGCCTTAACTCTACTTGTTACAAGTAAACACCCTGGTTTGCAGGTGAGCTAAATGCGACTTTATATAAAATTTTGAATGACATTTTTTGTTTTCGATTTTGATGTAATGAACACACTACCGTGCCGATTCTTGATCAAATTTGGTAATCAGTCTTCCCGCGTTTAAACCGACAATGCTCAGGACAGACAATCAACAAAACAAGCAATTTATATTGTATCACATGCACACAGCGTGCCCCACTTTTAATTCACGTAATAGAACGTTTAATACCAAACTCTATTAGTACAGGGTAATTATATTTATTTAAATTATCAATGCATGGAAATCTGTATATTCAGTTTAGAAACAGAGAAGGCGAATGGAGCGATGTTCCACCAAGTGGAGATAATATAATCGTACTTATTGGCCAAATAATGGAGGCTTGGACAGAAGATAAATTAAAAGCACCGGTGAGAATACGTCATGGTTATTTTTTGAGTAGAAACTTGTGACATCGTTCGTATTATGTAATAAATCTAGAAGAATTAATGTTAATGAGCTTATTATAATAATGACGTGGTAAATTTTGACATGGGAGTTACAGTACATAATTACATCTGTTTTACGAGAATAACAAAAGAATGGAATGTATTCGTGTGAGATATTTCAGCAAAAATGAAATTAAGAACACAATATTAATGAATTGCCTAATGTTAACTTTCAGTTTCATCGGGTTACTTTCCCGGAGAGAGATCAAGGAACCGATAATCGAATGTCGTGTGCTTTCTTCGCCATACCAGACAACGCACACACCATTTGTAGCATTCACGGCAGTGAGAAATACCCCCCTTTCAAACCAGATGTTTTCTTTGTGGACAAGTTGAACGTATTATACAAGTAGTGTCCACATCAAACGATAGGCTCTAATTATACAATCATAAAATGCGAGAGAAATTAGTGTTAGAATTATTTTATTATTATTTTATATTTTTTTCTGTTAGACCAAACTATGTTTTACGACAGTGTGCCTTTACACAATAAGGTATATACGTTGAGGAATTAAAAATACCCCTAGTACATTATCGAATTGTGTTATATGTTGGTGTCAGGCAACAATTGCGAACATTGTATGTTACTGTTGTCTCTCTTGACATGTTTAATGTGCAATTTGCAAGTGCGAGAGCTGGCATAGAGTGCATTGGTCACAGAGAGCATATTCCATGAATGGGACTAAGTGACGCGGCTGTGTGACTATTTTCCTACGATGGCAATTTATTGTGCTCTCCTGGTTTTAACAAGGCCCAGTCGAACACAAGCTTCTGCGGATTTTAACCAAGATTCTTGAAGTCGTATTCGTTAGTGAATGATTCTTAACCACTGAATATATCCTCCCCATCGAATCTGGTGCACACTGGACCAGGGAATCAGCACCATAAGTCAAATGCTACAATCACTATTCTACCGTTGCTTTCTCGTATTATCTTCGATGCGTATAGGGTTAGACTGCAAAATTGTTGTTTGTTGTTAGAGTGATAAAATTGAAGGACTAAAACGTTTGTTTACTTTATTATCACGAATACAACAAACTTTCGCATTATACCTAGTGTGATGTAACACATGTCTGTCTGTGTGTTGCGTTTCTGTGTAATTTTATTGTAATTTGTATTTATGTATTTGTTAAATAACGCATGATCAGTTGTTGGTTACTTTGGCGTGGCCGGCCGGGTAATTATTGAATTTGTATTGATTAATTTGGTTTGCCATGTGGACAGGACTTAGTACTGATAATTAATGTGAAGTTATTTTGGCAATTATTTCCAAAGTCAGACTATAGAGTATGGGAGTACAATTGTATTTAAATGAACAATATGCATATTGAATCCATAATTCAGAAATATAACCATTATGTATGTTAATTTTGTTTTCTTGTTTCATGTATATGAATATGATATAATGTACCACGGTGTGCTTATTGTGTGCGAGTGCTCGAACGTGACTTTTGTGTATGAACAATAATAATAACACCCCCCAACCTGGGACAGTGACAACGGGATGCAAAAACAACGTGGAAGAAGTGTTATGAAACAATTGTTAACGAAGTGATCTTTGGTACCATATAACTACGTGGTACGAAGTTACCATGTTGTGACTGTGTGGTGCTAAGTAACTTAGGATGAAGTGGTACGAAGAGATATTAGCGCAAATACATGACTTTTGGCGAAGTGCATGTATGGTACGACTGAGTTTGGTGCGAAGTGACTATGTGGTACGAAGCAACATTGTGGTACGAAACGACCTCGCGGTAAGAAGGGGCCATTGGATGCAAAGCGACCCTGTGGTAAGAATTACCATTGCGGTGCGAAATGACTGTGGTGCAAAAAGATTTGGTACGAAATGACCTCGAATAAAGTTGTTTTGGTACAAAGTGACCGTCCCTTAAAATGCAGCATTTTCTTTAGCTAAAACATCATATATTAAGTGTTGAATTAAAGCATAATCCTACAAAACTAAACTATTCCATGTGTGTCAAATATATGTGCGAAATTTTTGGACTACTTGATTACGTCATTTATGCTATTCATGTTATTTCCCATAAATGTGCCTTATTTTAGCTGAACGTCAGTTGCTATACTATCGATGATTTTAACTGTGGTTAAAGATGAATAAAATACATGTTCTGTTTCATATTGAAAACATATTTATAATCAAATATATATGAGCAATAATGACCAATTAATAAAGACAGTGCACCTACGCAGATTATCCCATATTGCCATATTTAATTGCTCTTTCATACATGAACCGGAACTTACACTAACAATTTGATTGTTTTACTTATGTAACATAAATATTCGAAACTAATTGGTCTGCAGGACTGAACAAAATTGTATGTCGACTATTAGAAGGAATACATTAAGTATGTAATCATCATATATGGAGTCCAAGAAATCACCATACTTGCCATATTCTTGAGAACCCTGTAAAGAGTCCAAAGCAATTATTGTCAGTTACGTAACGTCTTTAGTGTTGATGGCAGCTGTAGAAACGTTAATATATCAATCAAGTTTAATACAATTATAATTTAAAATACTCCATATAGGTGACACTGTTTTCTTGCACATCATAAATCCCAAATATATTCTTGTGTCAGTTACATTCTACAACACTTAAAAACGTCTCAGGCCGTTCGTGAGCATTTAACCTGATAAATGTGTCCTATATTTATTGATCGACCTTTAGCTAAATGATAAATTTTAATTATCTATCGACATTTCGTTATATTTACCTGGGATGAAATACAATTAGACAACAATTGTCACCAATAACATATAGCATTTTTCATTTTTTAATGATAATTTGTGACAACGTAAAACGTACCTCTCTTATGAAAACACATTATATTTTCTTTCATAATATGTAACCAAAATCAATTATGAGATGAGATGAAACATTATTACCATAGAAACCAATGGAAAAATACCATCAAGCACCATTGTTATGGATGTTTGACTTGGCTAGTTGGCATTATATGTCATTTGACTTTAATGAAACATTGGCATACAATACATTGTAAAATCAGGAAAATATTTGTATTAGCTTGGAAGTGGCAGGAAAGTAGCATCGAACATTCGCTCAGAGTATTAGCCAATGGTGTTTAGGCACAACAAAAGATGTCCACCACAGCATAAACAAGCCATGGATGACTTTCAGAGGGAAAAGCTGTACTGACAACAACTCCGAAAATATATTAAGAACAGTCTTGGGTTCAATAATACAATTAAACTGTTTCTGCTCTCAGTCGAGTATACGTACCTTCAGCCCCTTTCACAATTGGCGCCTCACTCGTGCGATAATTTTTTTTTTCGAAAATATTTTTTCCGTCCTGTTGTAGAAGTGTTGTCTTCGAGTCGCAAGCAATATATAAAATCGTACGAGAGGTGAACGACCACTGCACCAGCCTGGATACAACAGTCGTGAGACGTAATCGTGCGATTATTTTCATGTTTCCGGGTGCAACAGTCGTACAACGGTTGAACGATGATGCGACTAAGTCGCACGACATATGCGTTTTGTAGCGCCATATGTCGTGCAAGGCTACGACCCAGTGTGCGACACACCGCACCACCTGTCGCGCGAGGTGTTGGCCTATAAATACGATGGCTCAGATCACTTCGGATCATTTAGTGAAACAAATACTAACATATGGTTGTCCTGGGTGATACCCAGTCCAATTATTGCGGTGACGGCCGCTGTAACATCGGACACAATTAAATCGCATGGATGCATACCATATGTCCAGTGTAATATTAGGATTATTATTAATAATAATATAGAATCGTAATTTTTGTTGTAACCATGCATGTTTTGAAACACAAAT